AGTGCTTCTCTGGTCTTATCGTAGGGTGTATTTGCCGTGCGCCTTTCTTCGACTTCTCGTTCTGATTTTCTTCTATTGTACTCGGCCAGTTCTGACTCATATCTGGTCTAAGCTTCCTTGCACTACCTAGCACGGTTTTGGCGTCCTTGTTTTGACTTGTTTTTTCTTTCTCTGGCTTGCTTCTGAGTCTCGGTCTCACCATCGTAGCCCTGGACGAAGGGTGATATGTTGGATTCCGATTCATCCGATGACCTAACATCAGGCGCTTCTGGGGGACCAATGGTGATCGAGGACGACGAACCATGAGTACTTCCCGTGCGTGAACTGTTCTGTTATCAGCGTTAGTTTCCACACTGTCGGAGTTGCTGATAACTTTAGTAGAGGCTTCGAGGTCGTAGATCGAGTCTCCTTCTTGGTAGGGTAGAATTGTTGTTGTCATCGTGTCGACCAGTCAGGTACTGCTACCCTCAGGAACAGAGCCTGGCCAGTGGACATTGCAGTCTTGAGATGTTATAGTTAGTACGAGACCTTCCTAAGCTCCTTTTAGTGGCATTCTAAGCACCGGATCGAGGGATCCCTCGAGCCGTGCCTGATAAGACTTTGCCATGTTGTGGAGTCCAAACGAAAAAGGATCTGGCTTCTTGAAAAGACTCTCAGTGTTCTCCGAGTTGTATTCTTGATATGCCGAGGCCGCGTTCTGGAGCTCCATCAGAAAAGAACTCGGTTTCCCGAAAGAACTCGGGTCAGACTCCATCTCGGATGCGGAGCCCGAGTTTGAGTCGGATGCGCAAAGTCATGAAACCTGAGTTGAATCGGACATCACGAGCCGCGTGAATCTTCCGGTGATTTGACCTGTCGTAGTCGCCGAAATAGAATGGTCTTCATGGTGATCCGAATCTTCGAGGAGACGGCTTTGGAGCTTGCCATTGTCGTCCGCCTCGTAGATCCATGAGCCGAAGATGAAAGTTGATCCCATCGAGAAGATCATGTTGTCGAGGTCCATCGAGCTCTCGGATGCAAATTCACCGAAAGCCCCTACCTGGCGCGCCAGCTGTCGATGTTTTACCACCGATAGCCTACCACGGGGGTACCCGGGGCAATATGTTCGGGCTTCGGTGTATGCGGAACTCGATGGTGAACGCAAGAGACAGTCGATTTATCCTGGTTCGGGCCCTCGATCGCTGATCGAGTAATAGCCCTACGTCCAGTCGGCGTTAGCCCTTGCGTTGGATTGATTGTGTTGTGTTGTGTCATAAAATCCCTTCTGCTCTCTAGGAACCCTGCCCTCCTTTATATAGTCAGGAGGTCAGAATACTAGTCGGTTTATAATGAGAGTTCCTAGTAGGATTACAGAATAATACTACTACTAAGATTGCATGGGAAGAATCCTAGTTAGACTAGATCTTCTCCCTTCCTTGCGGGGTATCTCGTGGGTCCCGCACCGACAGACATTCTGTCCGAACTAGTATAAACTTTGTGTCTTCTTAGCACACCATCCGGGCTAGACGCGTAATATATAAATTTACTCGTTGGTGTTTACTCAAAACACCGACAGGGGTACTTGCATCTCCCCCAATAGAGTAGGACCACCCTATCAATTTTTGGGGCCTCTCTCGCGCATGTCCTCCGCGCTGGTGTCAATCGCCGACGAGGAGGCGCCGGAGCCTTTGCCGCAGCCGCCCGCGTCCGCGTCGCTTGCCACTCGAGCCGTTGCATCTCCTGCCCCCGTGTCGCACTAGAGCCTGGAGCTGCCATGTCGTCATCTCCATGCCGCTCGCTGGACTGCCGCGTCCCTCAGTTCCTCACCGCCCTGCCACATCCCTCAGCCATGCCGGGCTAGCACGCCGCCCGCCCGCCCACCAAGACCCGCACCCGCCCACCAAGAAGCGGCTCTGGAGAGCGATGCGAAGGAAGGAACCGGGAGCTTCGATCTCGATCTACCGGAGAAAGAAAAACAAATAAAGGAAAGAGGGGAAAAAGAAAATGAATTGGCAAACTTACATATGGGCTCCACGAGTCAGATCAAGTATTGGGGATGAGGCATTGGTGATCTGCTGCAACATCTCCACTAATAATTAGAAAGATAGTATTGGGTAGCCCCATTAGCATTATATTGGGGGAGTTATAATGGGGATCTGATGGAGGTGCTCTTAGGGCAAAAAATGTAGGAATGCAATTGGTTGAGTGGCACGACGTAGTAGTGAGCATTTTTTCCTCTTATGAGATTGAAGAAGCTTCTAGCGGTTTGGCCATGACTTTGGCCAGGTAACGAACCAATCAATAGCCAAAGTTTAATTTTGGTTGGGCAAGTTTTAGAACCCAACCAAGCAGGTCATATATCCAGACTCCAGAGTGGTAGGCATCAGATCTGGCGGTGGAGGATATGGATCTGACTCGTCGCCTGTATTCTGGCCACTGGCCATCTCGTAGAAGCAATGCAAAGTTTGGAAAAGAAATTCAAGCAACTACAAACACCCATGTAAGTCAAGAAGTTGAGTTTAGATGGGCAGGTTCTACCACAAGCGATTTAGCCATACGTCTTTCAAAATTTATGCTGTCATCACTTTTTTTCACTTTTGTATAAGAATCATTTTTCTTATATATTTTTTACCTTGCAGGAAGAGATAAGTAACAAACAGTAATAGGCCAGCCCCCACATGCCACATGTGCAAGGCACTTGCTATTCCTTTCTTTTGCTTGTGTTTTAGTCCTTGTTTTTACTCCAAATACCTTATGGGTTTTAATTTTGCACATTTATATATATGTTCTTTCAACATTTTTTTAAAACTTGGTTCAACAATATGTGAAGCCATAATTCAACATTTCAACACAACATTATGCGTGGAAATGTTCATTTTAAAACCTATTTCGTCGCCACTTACATAGATACATAGAGTAGCAAATTTGGAGTCACGACAACAAGTTCATTGTTCATAGAGCATGCACGTGCTGGCTTCCATGGCAGCGTAATCAACGCAAGGACGGACACGCGCATAGGACGTGTCCAGTCCATGGTCCATGCATGGCTCCAGCCTCCAGGCATCTTTTCCCTCCATACCGACAAGAACATACGGAGTAGTACCTCTGACTACGTACTGACATGCACACATGTCTAGTCTCCACGAACGTTTCCCCACCACACAACACAAGTGAGCGTACGATCTCCTGGCAGTCCTGCGTGCGTGTCGGCGGCACGCGGCATCACGCGCCGTTCTCCTTGGCGCCGTAGTCCATCCAGATGATGCAGCGGATGCACTTCCCCTGCGTGAGCAGGTCGAACGCGCGGTTTATCTCGTGGAAGCCCATCTGGTGCGTGATGAACTCGTCCAGCTCCAGCTCCTGGGAAAGAAATCAGCGACCACCATGCATGTTGTTATTCCTTCAGGCATGCGTGCATCGATGGAGCTCAGCTCACAGATCCTGCAGCATCTGACTGACGGTGATGGGGTCACCTTGTCCAGGTACTTCTGCGCCAGCATGGGGATGTCGTCCTTGGGCTTGATCCCGCCGAAGAGCGAGCCGGTGACCGACCGCCCCCGCATGATGTCGAACGACGGCACGCTGATCGGCGCCGCGCTGCCGTCGACGCCGAGGACGACCGTCTTCCCCCCAGCCCTGCGCAACAAGATTCAACGGTGGGCGATGCTAGCTGACCAGCAACAGCAAGCGAATAATGCGTGTGTTCACATCGCAGGCGTGCTGCAGGACCGTTCGTGTGTCCGTACCGATCGTGAGCTTTGGAATGCTTCCGCCATGACTGAAACTGAACCGATGCACTCGAAGCAGTAGTCGGCGCCTTCGCCGCCGGTCATCTCCCTGATGACCTGGTCGTCGTGTACATGCATGCGTCATCGTCGGTGAGCTTGGTTGCCAGCCACATATATAGATGCATCGAAAAACATATATACACATAGGGAAATTGCATTGCATTTTCGTTCAGACCTCGCTCACGGTCTTCTCCGCGACATCATTTGGATTTACGAAGTCGGTGATCCCCATCTTCTTGCCTGCAGGAGTTGTGAAACAAACAACCACTTAATCGATCAGCAGTACTAGCACGATCTGCCACTCACTACGCTTTTACAGTTTTACCAGCTGAAGAAAAGCAATTGGCATACCGATCTCGAACTTGTCAGGATTCAAGTCTACCCCAATGATCCTCTTGGCTCCTCGCATCCTGGCCCCTTGCGCTACCTACAGTTCATTGGTTCAGGCATCGCCGTCTATATATATATATATGAACACGTTTGTCGCTCCAAACTTCTAAATAACAATTCGATTTTATTTTGTGTTACGTTCCGTTGGTGTTGGTCTTGGTCTCTTGAATTGGAGAGCGACCCAACAGCTAACGGAGCACACATGCACATCAGTTTCTCAAATAGTAAAATCTGGGGCTGTCGTTACCGCTAACCCAACAGCTCCTAGTCCAAAGACGGCTACGGTCGAGCCGGGCTCCACCGCCGCAGCCTTCCAAGCCGCACCAACTCCTGCACATATGCAGCACGGCATCCATCCATCATCAGGTGACAATGAACAGACAACGACCCAGGAAATCCGGCGATGTGTGTGCGTACCGGTGGTGACGCCGCAGCTGAGCAGGCACGCCTTCTCCGGCGGCAGTGACGCGGGGCCGACGACGTCGAGCTTGACGAGGTGCGCGACGTCCACCACCGTGTACTCGGCGAAGCTGGAGACGCACAGGAAGCTGTGGACGGCCTCGCCCGTGGCGGCGAGCGAGAAGCGCGTGGTGCCGTCCCGCGGCATGCCGCCGGGGCGGTAGGGCAGCGCGGAGCAGATGTTGCTGCGGGCGGACCGGCAGTCGTCGCACTCGCCGCACTGCGGCAGGAACACCGGCACCACCGTGTCCCCCACGGCCACCTCCTGCACATGCTCCCCCACGCTCTCCACCACTCTGGACACGACAGTGGACACGAATCATGAATCAACACACCGCAAATGCCATGCCAATCGAATTGTGGCTGTCTGAATGTAAAGCCTACCCTACTGCTTCGTGCCCCAGGATGGACGGATACATGGCCGGGAAATCCTGCAAAAAGGAACAAAAACAGTATGCGTGACATACAGAACTGCAAAAATTTGTCCCTGGATCTCGATCCAACCCTACAGGTTGATTTCAGTACAAGTATGCACATATGGAAGTCCAGGACAGAATCTGATGCTTCTTAATTACTCAAACATGACAAAGTTTAATACTTAAGGTTCAGATCATTCGACATTGGCATAGATGATACTGAACCTTAAAAGTTGATTTTCTTTCCTCCAAAGAGCCGAGCGAAGCACAGAGCTACTACTACTCGGCTCCTAGCTAGCGCAAGATCAACATACGCGAATGCGACGAAGTCCAAGAGAGGAGGGAAACAGAATTCAGAATCAGCCTATGGTCGGCCCGGCATCCGTACCTTCATGCGCCAGAAGGTGACGTCCGTGTGGCAGAGGGAGGCGCAGATGATCCTCACGCGGACCTCATGTGCCCGCGGCGGCGCCACCTCCACCTCCTCCATCTCCAGAGGCTGCCCCGGCGCCTTGCTCACCGCCGCTGCGCAGCGATCACAGTTCAAAGGGCGCTGTCCATACAACTACAAGCAAGGAAGCAGGAGAGACGGAAGCGAGGGAAGGCAGGTGCACACGTACCTCTGCATCTGATGGGCTTCGCGACGCTCTGTTCCATCGCCGCGGCCTCCCGGTCAGACGAAGCCACAGCTCTCGGTCGCTCGCTCGCTCGAGGTGCGAGTGCGATGCGATGATGTCTTGTGACTGCTGCTTGTGAAGCTGTGGCAAACAGCAGGCGTGTCAAGTGGGGGTAAAGCAAAACGTATTTTTTACTCTTCTTCTATAATAAATGAAGGACGAAATTGGTTTGGTAGGTTTTGTCTGCTCAGCTAGGTTCAGAAATCTGGTGGCTCAACAGTAGCTGCGGGCTGGGGCGTCGAGCCCTCACCGGCCTGCCGACGATAGGTCACCGAGCTGTCATAGATAACCGCCAAAGAAAGAGGGCACCGTGGAAATCGAAGCTTGACGGCATCTCCAACGGTTTCTAATAATTCTCTTCATCCCGTAGGCCTGTCATATTGGAAGAGATACCGTAGTTTCATTGCTCTAGCAGCTTCCCAATAACGTTTCCTTTTTCGGGGGGCCAAAAAAACGCTACATCTTCCCTTAAATAAAGGGGTACTTGCATCTCCCCCGATAGAGTGGGACCCACCCGTATCAATTGTCGGGGCCTCTCTCGCGCATGTCCGCCGCGCTGGTGTCAATCGCCGACGAGGTGGCACCGGAGCCTTTGCCGCAGCCGCCCGCGTCCGCGTCGCTTGCCACCCGAGCCGTTGCATCTCCCGCCCCCATGCCGCACTAGAGCCTGGAGCTGCCACGTCGTCATCTCCATGCCGCTCGCTGCACTGCCGCGTCCCTCAGTCCCTCACCGCACTGCCACAACCCTCAGCCACGTCGGGCTAGCATGCCGCCCGCCTGCCCACCAAGACCCGCACCCGCCCACCAAGAAGCGGCTCCCGAGAGCAATGCGAAGGAAGGAACCGGGAGCTTCGATCTCGATCTACCGGAGAAAGAAAAACAAATAAAGGAAAGAGGGGAAAAAGAAAATGAATTGGCAAACTTACATATGGGCTCCATGAGTCAGATCAAGTATTGGGGATGAGGCATTGGTGATCTGCTGCAACATCTCTACTAATAATTAGAAAGATAGTATTGGGTAGCCCCATTAGCATTATATTGGGGGAGTTATAATGGGGATCTGATGGAGGTGCTCTTAGGGCAAAAAATGTAGGAATGCAATTGGTTGAGTGGCACGACGTAGTAGTGAGCATTTTTTCCTCTTATGAGATTGAAGAAGCTTCTAGCGGTTTGGCCATGACTTTGGCCAGGTAACGAACCAATCAATAGCCAAAGTTTAATTTTGGTTGGGCAAGTTTTAGAACCCAACCAAGCAGGTCATATATCCAGACTCCAGAGTGGTAGGCATCAGATCTGGCCGTGGAGGATATGGATCTGACTCGTCACCGGTATTCTGGCCACCGACCATCTCGTAGAAGCAGTGTAAAGTTTGGAAAAGAAATTCAAGCAACTACAAACACCCATGTAAGTCAAGAAGTTGAGTTTAGATGGACAGGTTCTACCACAAGCGATTTAGCCATACGTCTTTCAAAATTTATGCTGTCATCACATTTTTTACTTTTGTATAAGAATCATTTTTCTTATATATTTTTTACCTTGCAGGAAGAGATAAGTGACAAACAGTAATAGGCCAGCCCCCACATGTGCAAGGCACTTGCTATTCCTTTCTTTTGCTTGTGTTTTAGTCCTTGTTTTTACTCCAAATACTTTATGGGTTTTAATTTTGCACATTTATATATATTCACTACCGGAGGCCGTGGCTTTGCCGAGTGTTTTTACACTCGGCAAAGAGCCCTTTGCACTCGGCAAAGACTTTGCCGAGTGTAGCGCTCGGCAAAGTCCGCTCGGCAAAATTTTTCTCGGCAAAGGGTCTTTGCCGAGTGCTTTTTATCGGGGCACTCCACAAAATAAAAAACAATTTTGCCGAGTGCTTAGGGCGGCACTCGGCAAAATATTTTCGGTCGTTCCACCGTTCACGGTTATTTTGCCGAGGGCCTGACCCAGCACTCGGCAAAAAAAAAATTTATTTTTTTTAAAGATTACTTTGCCGAGTGCCCAAGTCCAGGCACTCGGCAAAGTTTTTTAATTATTTTTTTTATAAATTACTTTGCCGAGTGCCCCTGTCCAGGCACTCCGCAATTTTTTTTAAAAAAAATACTTTGCCGAGTGCCCCAGCCCAGGCACTCGACAAAGAATTTCTGGATTTTAAAAAAAAAAACTTTACCGAGTGCCGCTGCCCAGGCACTCGGCAAAGTTTTTTTTTAAATACTTTGCCGAGTGCCCCTGCCCAGACACTCGGCAAAGTTTTTTTTTTAAAAAATACTTTGCCGAGTGCGCCAGCCCAGGCACTCGGCAAAGAATTTCTGGATTTTTTTTGGAAAAAACTTTGCCGAGTGCCTTGTCCATGGCACTCGGCAAAGACCCCGAGAATTGTAATTTTTTTTTACATTCCATTGTAACAGACAATATATATATATATATATATATATATATATATATATATATATACATCAATCATCACATCTATATCACCAACATGCATTATATATCACAAGCACACGCATATTTAATAAATCCATCGAAAATCCATCACAAATACACCAAAGTTCAACATCACAAGTTTATTATTATAAGTTCGACATCACAAAGTTCAACATCTCTACTGCGGCGACGGAAACTGCTGGTGTGGCCCCCTGGACAGCGGTGAAGGACCGGACTGCGGCGAAGGGTTGACGTGATCAGCCGCCGGTGACACGCTAGCGGGATTGTTTGAACCCGCCGATGGAGGCTGCACAAAAGAGAAGAGATTGCATGTGTTAGACTAAAAATTGAAAATTTCGACAGCACCTCCCCTGCACGGGGAGGTTTCCAACCTGCAAGAAACAACGGCACGAAGGCCGACAATCACAACGGCACGAAGGCCGACAATCACAACGGCACGAAGGCCGAAAATCACAATGGCACGAAGGCCGACAATCCCAACGGCACGAACACATTAAACTTCCATACTCACAGGAGTGAAGTGTCGAACCGGAGCTGGAGCTGGCAACTGCACTTGGACACCCGATGCTTGCCCGATGGTTTGCATGATCTGATACATGTCCGCCATCTACTTCTTTGTGGCCTCCAGCTCTGCGGTCAGGTGCGCTTGCGTCTCCCTTGTCTCTGCCAGCTCGGCTTGCAGTGTTTCAATCACATGTTTCAGTATTGCAAATCTGATCAATGTGTGTAACGTTCAATGTACGACGAGTGAAACCAGAATTACCTGAAGTTCGTCGACCCGCGACAGTGTTGGAGTAGGCCGTGCACGTATGGGAAGGCTTCTGGTCGTGCTCCGTGCCCTCACGTCGGAGAGAGAGGGTGCAGAGCTCAAGGAGTCGGCGCCGTCTGCAATCCACAACCGCCGTGCTTCCCGCCTTGCCCTGACCTCACGATCACCTCTGTCTCAAGGGGCTCGGTGCTCAGTTGTGATATGAGCCACGGGCGCCCTAACCGCTCTCCGTGTAGTCTCGACCTTAGCGTGGGACGCCGGGTCGAGAAGTAAGCTCGGGCGAGGGCATCCGGGTTGAAGACGACACCGGATTTCACCGGGCCCATGTGGGACATGACCCATGCCCCAAACTCCGACACCGCAAGACGTCCGGGTGTGCCACCTCTGCGAGAAAAGCGGCAAGATGATTAGAAATCGAGGCAAAATTGAGCGTTAGAATAGATAAATGACATCTCGTACAAGTGCCCGCTTGAATGCGGGGAGGTTGCGGCTGCCTTGGTGGTGAGTTGAAGCGGTCCTCGGTGCCGCTTCCGCTTGCCTTGCTCGTGCTGCGCGATGTACGCCGGGTCAAAGGTACATCCACGATCCTCGACCATGCCGATCTATGCGACATGCACCATGAGGCCGGCACCTACACATCATCAAGTGTTTGACATATAAGATCAATTCTGGACCTACTAAATCTCAAAATGAATTAATATTATTCACCTACACCAAGGTCTTGCTCCTTGGTCGGCGCCACATTTCTTGGCGCCGGTTTTGTTGAGGGCTCTTTCTTGATGGACTGTAGTAGTCGGCGTGGGCACGAGTCGCGCCTCGTGAATCATGTCGCCGACGTACTTCTTATGTGCTCTGTGTGCCGTCCGATCCGCCAGGGTCTCTCTACCTTCTTGGCCTTGAAGTTACCTCTGCATACAAACACGATGTATCCGTTCATTATTTCAATAAAAGACTTAAGCAATAGAGGAGATGTATTGAGCTATGTTGTGAGACACTTGCCCAAAAGTCCGCCAAAACCCGCTCACTGCTTGTTGTCCCTTTCGTCATCCGAGCCGAGCTTGTACTGCCCCACGCCCAGCCGGCTCCCACCTCCCTCTTTCAAGTCCACAAGGCCGAGGAAGTGTTTCTGCCTGCACATCCCAGACGGTGGCGGGGGTGCGTGGGGGTCAAGAGCACCGGCGTAACTAGCTGACCCTTCGCACAAGTGATTACGAAAAATTATCAGTTTCTCTTTTGATTTTCAACGTATCATATGAAGTACTAGTGATAACATCTATAGTTACTTACCTTCTTCCCACAGGACGAACCAGTGGGCGTCGGTCAGAAGCGGAATCGGAGGAAGGCTTGTGGGACCTCGCAGGTAGGGAGCCGAGAAAGCAGAACTGTCCTCCGTCTGCTGAGTCCCCTCATCCCCCGACGGAGTGTCTGTGGTCGTGCCCGTGGCCGCCACGTGCTCCTCCGGGGTAGGAGACGGGTCCTCCGGCTGGTCGAGAGCCGGGGGAGGAGGCGGGTCCCTCCTGGGGCGACCTCGGCCCCTCCCCCCCCCCCCCGTCTTTGGGCGACCGGGCCTGCTCTCTCGGGCTGAGTAAGACGTCCCCTCGCCTCCATCAGGAGGGCGTAGCCTCTGGTACACCGAGAGCACCTGCCTCGGTGAACGGTTGCCCACCATCTTTGTTCTGTCACCTGCAATGTACAAAGAATGAACAACAAGCGTTAGTACATACATGTCAAATAGTTCAAAATGAATAAACATAACAAAATTTAATAAA